CTGATTAATGTGATTGCTCACAATGGAACAATTGACTATGTAATTAAATACATCCAAATACTCTTTTAAGCAAAACAATCAATAATAATATGAAATAGTATAGAACATCTGTTCAAGATATGAGCACCAATCTGCAGCAAATATCACTATTTATTGCAAGCTTAAAAAGAAATAAAAAGACCCCAAGGAAGAATGTGGCCCAAAACACACATCATGCAACTCTCTCATTCGGTAAACCATAGTATTACTAGGTGAAAAATAGTAGAGTGAGTATTTCTTGAGTGTCTTGGGTTTGACTTGTGGCATAAATGTCTAACATACCTCCCTGTTCTGTCCCCCTCCTCCGTCCAGTAACGAAAGCCGAGACAAGCTTAACTAGAACGTCCTTTAATAGCAAGACCAAAATCTTGGTAGCTGAAAGCCAAGCAAACAAANGGGGCGATATGCTGACTCTGTAAACCGCTTAGAGAGGGCTGAAAGCCCTATGAAGCAGTATATAAGTCTAACTGCTATTGCTATTGCTATAACACCAATTGGAATGAGAATCATGTGCACAAATGTGCGATCAAGCAGCTGGGCTACTTCACATATAAACTAAGTTCATGTATCATACCAAACCCATTTGCTAAACCATAATTGGTTTAATATATTTCATACAATCCACAAACTTCTCAAACTGGATATCTACTTAGAATGGTTTATTGGATGACTGGCAACTAGGTGAGCCATAAATTGTGATTTACAAACCACAAGTAGCTAGGTTTATCGAACATGTTAAGCCATAAATTATGGCTTACAAATTACATCATCTGGGTTCACACAATATGCTAAGCCAAATAGCCCTTAATCAAACCCTGATACTTCCATTTAGAATTATCACAGTTGCTCTTTTCATTCATTGTTTGTTTGGCGTTTGTATTTCACTTTGTATTTTCAGCAAGAACAGGGATAACTAGTATTACAGTAAATGAACTATAATATTTGATAAATAATGATAGATTGATGTATGATATCCTAAATTTGTATACATTCAATTAATTCGTAAGTAGTGGAATTCTGACAATATGCAAAATACGTTTAGTTTGAATGAAGAGTCCTTTGTCCAAATAATTTGTCCTGTAGCTTGCCTGAGTGTATATAATGATTTTTTTTTTGGTCTAAGGTGTTGAACACATTATAGTAATATTGTCATGTAGAAGGAATCAAAATGCATTTAAATGTCTGAATAGTTGATGTTTTAATTGTCTAGTTATTAGTACAAAGATTTGCTTCTTTTGCTTTGAATGAATTCTTTCACTTTCCTCATACCCAGCATCCTATAATTAAAATGATTACACTCCTTTGAAGGGACTTAGTTTATGTAATGTATGATATACAGGGGCACAGAATTATTCTCACATTCTTTGGTTCTTGTCATTGTTCTTCCTGTATGAGTAAGCCTCATTATCATTTGGAAGCTGAACCAAATCTCTTCTAAGGGATTTTGGCTTCCAAATTATGCTGGATTATGGCTATGAAACAGAAATGCCAAATGTCTCTGCGGAGAGATGATTCAGGTTTTTTTTAACTGGGCTGTTGTTTATGCTTCTCTTAGAGGTAATAGCTAAGCAGCCACTATCTTCCTACTCGCAAACAGAGTGATACACAGGTAGGATGCTATTGAAAACGAAAATTGCTAGCTAGAATTTTTATTATACTATGAACTAGGTCTAGGGCAGGGGTGGGTTTCAGGCGGTTTGCGGCGGTCCCCGCGAACCGGTTGGTCGGCGAACCCGGAAGTAAGTAACTTCCGGGAACGCCGAAGG